ATTTTCATTAAAATTTTTTTTATGTATTTTTTCTAATTGTTGACTAAATACACCCACACAAAAATTTCCTTTAAAAACTAACAAAAAACACGTTGATTTAATATTTTCAATTGTTATTTCTCATTATTTATTTTGCTCTAACATCACACACATCGGTGTTGGTATTCATATATGTATGTATATATATATATGTATATAATCGTATATCGTTTAATATGCACATCAAATATACAGCAGCTTCTCACTACAAGAATAATGCAGATTATTTATATAATAAAGTTAAACCAAAAAAACAAAAAAAAAGAAGAAGAAAAAATGCACATAATCTAAAAACAACAGCTTTGTAAATTGTATTAAGTAAATATTTTAACAATAATAACTGTAAGCTGTTATAACGGTATATTTTAAGTATAAATGTAATAATATTTATTTCGCACGTACAAGTGACACAAAGGTTAATATGCTTATTTTTAGGTTAATTTTTATTAAATTTTATTGTAACGGTACATGTTTGCGTATAAGTATATTTAGGTATGTAGTAGTGTGTGTATATTTTTTTATATTTATTTTTAATTAATTTAACAATTTACGTATTAAACAATAGCGATACAGAGAGCAACATAAAATTAAAAATAGAAATCATATATATAAACAAAAAAAAAAGTTTTTAATAAGCGTGTAAATGCATTTGTAAGTTAAGCTTAGTTAGTTTTTTGTTTTTATTTTTATTTTAAATACATATTGAGTAGTTACAACTAAATATTAGTGTGTGTTAACAACAACACTGCAATACAATAATTAATAACGGTTGCTATATAATTTTCTTACAACATTTTACAGTTATGAATATTGGATTTTATTTTATTTATTTATTTATTTTATTTTATTTTTTTTTTTGATTGATTTTGCATTATGTTTTTATTATTAAGAGTACACTTTTTTATTTTTATTTTTTACAATTGTTCTAACGGTAAATTTATAAAGTACATATAAATGAATGCGAATAACAAGCGACAGCTGCAAAAAAAAATTATAAATGATAAAAAAATTACAAAAAATTATTAGAATTTTAAAAACAATTTTTAGAAAATTATAAAAAAAGCTGTGAATAAAGTAAACACTGTGACATAAAAAATACTTCAAATATACAAAAACTATTTTTAAATGTGTTAATATTGCAAAAATGTATACTAGCCTCATCTACCTGTTTTTGAGACCAACTAATGCAGAAAAAAAAATTATTTTCAACAATGTATTAGAAAAACAATGTTTTTTTGAAAAATTTTGAAAAATATATTTTTAGAAAATCTTGAAAAAAAAATATTTTTGGAAAATCTTGAAAAAATATAGATGTGTATAAGAGACAGGAAAAAAATGTTTTTAACAAAGTTTTGAAAATATTTGAAAAAAATAATTTTTAGAAAAAAATTTTAAAAAATAATTTTAGAAAAAGTTTGGAAAAATTTTATAAATATATATTTTTTGAAAAGATTTAAAAGAAAATTAAAAAAAAAGTTTTGAAAAAAAAAATTGGAAAAAAATATTTTGGAAAAATTAAAAACTCTTGAAAAATTCAAAATACTATATATTTCTTGAAAACTAAAAAGTCGAACAGCAAATAATGAATAAACGGCATTAACGTTAAACTCTCAAATACTCAATTTTCGTAATAAAAACTTTATAGATATCAAAAACCAAAACGTTATTATGAAATTTTAACATTTAACGGTACTTTACGCCACTATTAATTATTAATAATTATACAAAATTTTAATTGCAGTACATTTAGTATATCAATGCTGCTACCTAAGACGCCTTTAAAACACCTAGCAATTTTCAAAATATTTTTTTTTTAAATTTATTAGCGTCATTATAATTTTCTAAAAATATTTTTAAATCTAAATTTTTTCTATTTTTTTTTCGTTTGGGTTCTTGATTAAGTATTAAATTCGCTCACTGCTGGAAGATGGAATGTTATTCGCTCTTTCTTTTTTTTAATAAATGAGTGCAATTTTAAAGCGTTTTCACACAAATTTTCACTCAAGTTCGTTTTTCATATTTTTTTTCGTTACAAGGCTAATTGCTAATCGATATCGTTAATATTTTCCAAACTACAAATACAAATCCGTATATATATGAAAAAAATAGAAAATAGTTTAAGAAAAATATGCGTAGCCTATAACAACAGCAATTGCTTTGAGCTGCTTGAGTTTTTCTTCAATTTCGACGGCGCACACTTGCTTCCACTCTAACTGTAATTGCAGAGCGCTAAAACAAGTGCTTACTTTTTTCCAAACAAAAAAATGTTTTCGAAAAAAATATTTATAAAAAATTGTTTTAGAATTTATCAAGATTATATATGTGCTTAGGGACAGCAAAGCGCTGCAAAGCTCAGATACAAAAAAATATTCAATTTCAAGTTTATATTTTTTTACTTTCTGTTTTTGTTTGTGTTTTATAGATTTCGCAGATGTTTTTCTTTTTCAATTTTGCAAAATGATTTAATTTGGAATTTATTAATAATTTAACAATATATATTATAAATTTTAAATTATATGTCCTTTTGGCAAGCAACATATTTCACATTTCGAGCAATACTCCGCACAGCCTGTTACATAGTTTGCGCTTGCTTTTTCATTATGAGCGCGGGCGCGCGCACGCATACACAAGTCCAGCGCCAGTGCCGCGCTCATGTTTTAAACACACTTCAACGCTTGCTAACGCGCGCTAACTCAAATGACACCCAAAAATATACGCTCGAACTCTTTAGACGCCAATTGGAATTCTTCCTTCGTTACTACAATATCCTCGAAGCGCTTGACCTCTGGCAACGGCATACCATGCGTTAGCGTTAAGGCGCGCGAGCGCAAGGCACGCGTGCGTCCTGAACTCGGTGTATCAGCGTTGGCGTGTGTGCTGAACAATTGTGTGTTGCTTGAAGTGGGCGTAAAAGTGATATTGGTTGTGTTGGCGCGTTGGCGCTTCGACATGTCGCGGCGCCTTTGCACTGCTGACGCAGAGACACCTGTTGACGCAGAGCCGCCTGCTGACGCGTTGCCAGTGTGGGTCAATGCGGTGGCGGATGAAGTTTGTGTTAGCGTTATGTCGTAGGCGCACACCGAAGGCGGCGTAAAATATGGCGTATTCGAGTTACTGCGCACATTGTGATTGAACGCTTCGTGTGGCGTTGCGCTGGGCGTGTTGGTGTGCTTTGCAAATGACAAAGCGTCTGTTACCTTCTTGATGTTAGCACGTAAATCGCCATTGGGAGTGTGCGCGAAGTCGGGCGGCGGTAGTGGTGGATAGCTGGTAGCGCTGCGTGAGCTGAGACTTGTTTCGCTGGCGCCCACTGAGCGCGCTGTTGTTGCGTTGAGTGATTCGTGTACGCGCGCTGTACGCTGATTGCCATTAGTCGCTTTGTTAGTGATTGTAGTTGCGGCACATGGTTGATTGCCAGCGGGTGCAAGTCCAAAGTATTTGGCGAATTTGTCATCGATGA